GTATGTATTTTGGTAAAATAAGCTTACGAGCTTATGGGATAAATGGTAAGAGATTTTATATTATTTTGATCATGGTAAAATATTGGATATGTTAGTAAAATGATTTTGTGGAAATTTGATAGTTGATATTGAAAATCATGCATGAATTGTATTGCACTGTTAAATGTTTTAAATTGCCTCACTAAGTTTATACTTAGCGTGTGATGATTTTCACGCGTAGGTAAAAAGCAAAGAATAAGAATAAAGAGTTCAGAATGACATCAAGCATCGAGAGGTATATTTCAATATCAGTAAGACATCCTATTGTGAAATTTGATTTTAGATAGTGGCATGTAATTTGAAAATGTTCAATTTATTTGTTGAATTAATTTTGGAAACTTTTATAATGATGAAAGGTTAATTTTTATGAATTTATATGTAAATTTTTAGAAGTTACTGTAGCATGAACAGTAACCACGGGTTTTAAGCTAAATTTCCAGATTGTTAAAGGGGTACCGATTCCCCTGCTATAGGGAATCGATTCCCCCACTATTCACTGTTCACTGTTCGAGTACTATTCACAATTCATAAATAAAAATATTTTGAATTAAATTGGTTACAACGAAACGAAATTTTTATGATATGATAATTTTATAATATTATTTACTATCTTTAAAAATAAATTTTAAATCGATTTTGAAAAGGTAATCGTTTTCGAGAATTCGGATAACATCTGTAATCTGTATAGGTATAATTATACGGGTTACGGGTGTTACTCTTTGCCTTTGCCCTTAGTTTTACTTGTTTTAGGAGCTTGCTTCCGATCTACTCAAGCATTCATAAAACATCTATCATACCCAATGTTAGAATACTTTCTAACCATTATACTTATACAATACTCCAAAGAACATATCAATAACTTTATATACCAATATCGACCTATTTTTATCATTTCTTGTTCCATAGTATCGATACTACTTCCATGGTACTGATATTTCTATACTATAGTAACGATACCCCCTTCGGTTATCAATACCAAAAATAGGTTCGATGTTGCCTAGTATCGATACCCTTATCATGGTATCGATACTACCTTACTATGGTATCGATACCCCATACTAGTATCGATACCAAAATTAGATTCGATGTTGCTGGGTATTTATATCCCTTATATTGGTATGATACTACCTCATAGGTATCAATATTGATTGAATCAGTATCGGTACTACTCATCTAATTTTATCTCATTTTAGCCTATAGTATCGGTACTGTTCTTAGTTGTACAGATACCCTCACACAGATTTTCCAGTTTTTAGCTCGAAAATCACCCAAATGAGGTTAAATTTCGTTATATAAACACCATATAATATCGTTAACTTCTTCCTTAGCTATTTATACTGACATTCCTTCATTTAGCCTCTTAGAACATCAAATACCTTTCAAGATCATAGGATTCTAATAATCACACCAAATTTTCTAACTTGTTTTTAAACTCATCCAATGCTTCTAATCTCATATTTACTACTTTGACAAGTCAAATCTACCAATAACCATAAAAATACAAATATACTAACATATCATTTCAAAACCCATTTTCTAAAATCTACAATATTTCCTTCATTTCATATTTTTAACCTCATTTAATCCTTCCTTAAGCTTCTATATCACTTAAGGTTGCAAGAACTACCATAATCGAAAGGAAAAATCAAATAATTAAGGAAAAATCAAATAATCAAATAATTAAGGATATCAAACCCACGGGGAAGAAGGAAGAAGAATAAAAATGGCTTCTTAAACTTACTTTCCCCTTTTTATTTAAATCCCTAGAATTTAAATGGGATTTAAATTCATTTCACTTAAAAGGGCAAAAATGCCCTTTCAGTCTTCTATTTCTTACACATTGGTCTTACTTAAGTCATTTCTTATACTTTACCCTTTTATTCAATTTAGTCCTCCAAATTTAATTCCTTTCAAATTAGTCACTAACCTATTATTTGGGGTGTTACAACTCTCCCCTTAAGAAAATTCATCCTCAAATTTTAAAAACTTTATACGTTTACCACAATAGTACAAATATCTGCCAAACCTGACCTTCCTAAAAGTCCTTAATTCTTCACTTTCTACTTATAACATTCTTATTCATAAATTTTTCATCTTTTTTTTTGTAATATAATCAATGATCACCTCACAAACCTTTAGAGGCTTTGAACATCTTTTCTGCCCCATGATCACTCTCTTCAATTTCCACAAGTATTTAAGGGTCGGGTGATTAGCACCACTATAGTACCACTCACTATACTGATAATGACGTCAAATATTTTAAGGCAACCCGACTACTGTCGACTCTAAATCACACGTAAATAATTCCCCTTGATTCTTGTGATACAAAATCATAGAAACACGTTCAATACTCCAAAATCCAATTACCTTAAATTTCATCTCATGATCTAGAGGTAACCCATTATATTGATCTAAAAAACATCTCTAATTGTCCTAATTTGTTGAAATTATTAGACAATCCTACTTATTTGAGTATCAATTACATTACCTAACCATCATTCTCTTCACAATCATTAGCAATGATCTTAACTCATCAATTTGTAATTGTCATAAGATTCACCAAGAACATATTCCCTGAAAATCTTTATTAATAGCCTACTACCTTTCCATACATACTTTTACCATGACCCATTAAGGTTTATGGCTATCACTTTACTCAAAATTAATTCTACAGGAATTCGTTTATCTCTAGCCAACCTTATACTAATTTATGAGTGCATAGATCAAAGGTCAACTAATACCAACACAGACTCATCAAAAGATGAAAAATACCTATTAAAATTTTTGGATCATCCCGATCCTCATTAGCTATAATATTATAGATTATGGTAGCTCCCCGAGTCTCTTGTCGCTGCAATGATTCATCTCGTCCCCTTGATTTTCCACTTCCTCTGTTTCTATTAGAGGTTGCCACAGATATTTCAGATTATATTAAATCGTCCCTAGATTTCTTTGGACAACTTCTGACAAAGTGACCGATCTCACCACAATGGAAGTAAACTCCACTAAGAAGTCTGCATATTCCACAGTGCACTCTTCCACATGTCTGACATATTATTCTTTCTCTAACTGCTCTATCTGAGCTAGCAACAATCGACTGAGACTGTTTTGTTTTCTGTAAAATTGCAACAGAATTCTCTTTGTCCAAACCTCTCGAAATGGAGCCTTTGTCGCTTTTAACAAAATGGGGAGTTGAAGGTGTTCCAACCCTTTTTCCCATCTGTAAACTATGTTCCGCTGCTAATGTCTCCTCTTGTGCTCTCTCAATAGCTTTGTCTGGTTAATAACATCTTGCAAGTTAGGAAAACTGAAATCTAGCATCAACTCTTTTTATTTTGGCCTTAACCCCTAAATAAACCAATCGCATCGAGCCTTATCATTTGGAACTACCTCTGTAGCAAAACGGATCAACTTATTATACTCAGCCTCGTACTTGTGTACTGTTCGATCACCTTATTTCAAATTTAAGAACTTTAACAGCATTACTCGTTTGAATTGTTCACCCACATATTTGTTCTTAAATTCTTCCAGGAAGAATTGTCAAGTAACTTGCTCCAGTGGTGCATACATCATAGTGTTGGACCATCATACGCGAGCTGATCCTCTAAGTAAAGATACAGCTCATCCACATTTTTCCTGCTTTAAGCATTGTAGGCTTTCAAGCATTTACAACACATCATTTAACCACATATCGACCTCTATAGGACCCTCACTTTCATCTCCTCTAAACTCTAGAGCTCCCAAACTCTTAAGTTCCCTTGGGATCAACATTCTAGGTACTGGAGGAGCAGAGGGAGGCGGAGTATGTTAAAATCATGTCAGAATAGCGTCTAGAGTTTGTATAAACGTTCTAAACTTCGGAACAGGCATGCCTTGAGGTGTTTGTGCACTAGCATTGTCAGACGGAATCGGATGTTCGCTATTCTCTTCATAGCTCTCACTAACCGATTTGTCTCTACTATTTCGACAAGCCGTTCTTCTTGAGTTTGTATAATCAGACATCTATCATATCATTCATAAAATAGTAATTACATTAGTAAGGAGAGACATCTTTCATATTCATTCTATACCCTATCAATAACTTTGACATCTTACTTGCATGTAAACTCTTTTTACATAAAAATTACAATTGATTCGGCCGATAATCGACTAAACCTCACTACTAGAAAAAACCCCTTTAATGACGCGCATTGCGCGTCATCTATTGGTGCGGATGACACACAAATGGCTGTCGTTGAAGCCACCGACATAAATCTTAGATGATGTGCAATTGTGTGTCATAAATCTATGACGCGCATTGATGACACGCATTTATGATACTCATTTACGACGCTTATTTATGACGCATAATGCGCGTCATTGAAGCCCCCGTCATAAATAAAGATGACACATATTTGTGTGTCATAAATTTATGACACGCATGTATGACTTACATTGCGTGTCATTGAAGCACACGTCATTAAAAAAGATGACACACATTCATGTGTCGTGATTGTATCTCGTAAATTATATATATATATATAGTAGATTGACAAATAATCAAACTAAATCACATTTAATACCTCATAATACTAAATATATATATATCATATTATATATAAGCAATCCATTTGCATACAATATATTCACTTTAAGTTATCAAAAATATTGTAATCATATGTCGATACAAGGAAGAAATAAAACAAATTAAAGAACAAAAACCTGATTCAACCATTAATCACACAGTAACTTCATAATCCTACTACAGTAAACTTGAACATCTAAAAACTAACAAAAGTAAAATATATTCATTCAAAAGATGAACGAATATAATGAATTGTTACATGACCTTTTACAACAAAAAGTATCTTAGTCTCATCTACATCCAGAAGAAACTGCAAGGAAACAAAGAAAACAATAATCAAACAACACCTCTTTTGCATACATAACATGAATAATATGAACAATGAAAATGGCATCACCTTGAAAGTTAATGTGTTCATTGATGACCCTAAGCATTGCAGTGGATTGCGTTTTATGCAAATATTGCAACAGAAGATCATAGGAATACTGTCGAAGTGATTGACAACAAATCCAGCAGTAAATCAGGAAATGAATAGATTATTTTCTTCTCTATTAGCAGTTACCAAAGAAACAATTTACGGATTTTACCTGACATATCTTGATGTTAACTTTACTCTGCCTAAGAGAATGAGCAAATTCCATCTCCTGATTAAGGAAACAACTAATTGCGAGTACAAAAAAATGGATGTGATTAGTAAGTAAAAAAGAAGAAGAAAGAACAATATGTTCCACCTCCAAATGAAACTAAGAAAGAACCCCTTCCAAATTTTGAAGGTCATGTGAGTGCATCAATTTCAAAATGTTAAGTGATTTACCTCCAAAATAACTTTTCTTCCGCTTCTTTGATTTAATAAAAAAAATTAGTTAAAAAGGAAACAAATAACCTTGAAGAATTAAAAAATCAAAAACAAAGAGGAGAAAATAGTTAGCTTCGACTCACAGAGAAGTATTGGTCCCATTCCTTGTCCAGGTAGTGTCGTTCTTTAAAAAACTGAAACGATAGGAATTAAACAATTTCAAAATCACTATTCCAAATAACATAATAAAATTTTTGTAGCAATGGTTCTATATAAGTTGCAACTTTTCGAAGTGATCCCAAAAAGAACCTTGTTGTATGTCACAACCATTGCTAGTAAAAAGATTAAACCGAAATTTAGTAACATTCGATCCTCAACCTTAGGTATCTATTATAGCATTTAACATTATTTAACAGCCAGTCCAAAATTTGGGTTTGGGGATTAGATTTAGTGCATTTAAGTAATAACACAACATCTCAACAATGACCTTAGTAGATATAAAAAGGGGTGAAAACAACTTAAACAAAACTGTAAGAGGACTAACTTTATCTTGATGCCTCCTATAGAACTAATCCCAATACTTCTTAGCATCTCTTTCATACTTAGCTGCAAAACAAAAGATCAAATTTAAAGCATCATGTATCGACTCAATGCAGGCCCATAACTATGAGTAAAAGAGATATAATTTGAGAACCTATCGAAAAGGGGGAAACTCAAATGGTAGTGGGTGGGTATATTTGTATCATATGCGCTGGTTGTTGCTGTTCACACCAATTTGCATTTCGGACTCCATTATTGGACCAGCCTTAATGAAGAAAAAAAATCAGAGTTTTGAACTTCCTGAAATATGAATTTTAATTCACAAATCTTAGAAGCATAGAATTAAGATACCAAACATGCATGTAATAGTGGATTCAGGGATTATCTTTTTTTTGACTTATTAACAACGATATGTGATCCTAACAACTTTGGTAGGAACATAATCCATGAACATTTGTAATTTATAAAATAAATAAATACAAGAACGATTGAAGACAGTGACTTCACCAGGCCTAATTTCCTCGTTACAAAACTACTGATATGAATCAAATAACAAAATGTTGCTTTAGCTTACCTACTAAACCAAGTCTTCAAAAAAAATTCAGCATGCAATGGCGGGAGTAAAAATTTGCAAAGTATCAACACACAATAACTTGGTTTTGAAATAATAAAAACAATTCAGGAGCTAAATATTCGGTGGCGGGTCTCGACAGTCAATGCCGACAGTAAGATACAAAGCACTCAACAAGTGCTAATATCCTGGATGCAATGATAGATGAGAAATGATAGCTTAGAGGAAGTCAACCTACAATCACTAGAAACACAGTTTTTAAATCTTAACAATCTTGTACGTAATTCCATAGGATCACCATGCACCTTTAACATACACAAAACACCACCCTATAAATACACTAAAACACACAAAAATATTGCACCGCCTACATAAAGATGAGAGGCCAAGTTCTAATTTACATTATTCTACTAGCATGGTTCCTACTTATAGATTCTCAACTCGAGGGCTCCCAAATCGATGTTCAAGCCATTTATCAGACAATCTTCTTTCTCTCTCTCAATTGCTAAAAGCATTCAACGTATATCATACACCTACATCAAGCACATTTACAAACTTTTGTAGCTTATAAATTGTAATGCATTAATGTTTTTTTTCCTATAGTGACAACAGTTCACTTCAAGTTCAGACTCGAAGCCTAATGTCGAGACCACGTGCTAGAAATGCATTACCTACCTGGGTAAGAACTGTGTAATCTCTTTCAGCTTAAAATTGTTGTATTTATCTAACTAGTATAAATAAATCCATTAGCTAAAAAAATCCTCACTGCGATGAAAAACAGGTTGAAATGAAAAAGATTCATAAATCCCCATCCAGACCGAACCCATTAGAAAATCACCGGCCACCATCTAGGAATTAAAACAATGGATGCAACAGCCAACATGGAAGATAGGGTAAGACGACACAAATTGTATTTGGAGGTGAGACGTCTCTGTGTAGGACAAGGATTTTACTTGTAAAAATTCATATGCGAAAGCAAGTATTGATGTACTATTATATGCTTCTAGCATGTACGAAAAGTTCTAAATGAGTTAGCTCTGGCTCTGACCCCTAGTAAAGGTTAGTTTAGTGTGTAATGGTATGTTCGGTTTTCTTCAGTCAGAAGGTAATCCCATGTCCTAATTATGATATTCTGCTTTATAATGCTTCTATACAATAAATTCATACTACACTATCACATGTTTGCAGAAAGAAACAGTCATATTTCACACGTGAAAAGAACTGAAACAGTTTTAAACAAAGAATTGACAAATCTTCATGAGAGAGAAAATACCCCTAGGTTCAAATCATATAAAAGGAAGCAATGAAGGCGCAACTACTAGCACAACAAGATCCATGAAATAAATAAAAATAAACTACCTGAAAGCTTGAGTACTACTGAAAGCAGGCTACCATTCGAAGAGAAAAATTTTCACCAACAATAGAGGAATTCGAACAAAATGAAGGAAACAGAGAGAGATAGAAAAATGAAGAAGAGAACACAAGGAAAATACGGAAGGGAAATTTTTTGTAATGGGGGAATATTAGAAAACTCAACAATAAATATATGTAAAGGGGATTTGCAATTGCAACCGAAGAACACCCATTTTTTTACCTTTTGAAGGGTATTTTCTATTTCTCATTTCATGTTGTTCTTTCTATTTTTTTTTACTTCTGTTTGTGTTTACATTGTTTTGAAACAAATAGGAATCGAGAGAGGAATACCTGGGTTGTTCACACGTTGATGGAGTCTTGTTAACTCTATTTTATCGTCGTTCGGTTTCCTTTGTAAAGGATAAGAGTCAAGTTAGTAAATAAAATTATTTTTGAATCAAAATAGTAAAGATCAACGAGAGAGAGAGCTTACCTTGGCCGAGTGTCGGGGCCGTTGTCGGGGTGGTTCTCGGCATTTTACCGGTGGACTGATGCAAAGAGGAAAAGGGAAAAAGAGAATAAAAAAAAAGGGGAAACATGCGGCATGAACTGATTTTGGAGGGGGAAGAAGCGGGAAAGGAAGAAAATAATGGGGGAAATTAAAAGACAACTTTTACAGATGACACACAATTAAAAGTGTACTCCGTGTTTTGGTAAAATTTTTGGATTATGACTATTAAATATGACACACATTATTGTAAGTCATAAATCGTTCAAATTTTAAAAAATGTGACATTTTTTATGACACATCTTTTGCAAGTCATAAATTAGCGTGTGTCATCGTTCGTGTGTCATTAAAGGTATATTTTCTTGTAGTGCCTATAGCTCTGATACCAATAAATGTAACACCCATCTCCCGTATACCCATACATATACGATACACAGATGTCACATCACTAATATTAATGTTCTTAATACGAAACCAGAAAAATTTTGCTTCATTTTCTAAAACATTTAACTCACTTAAAAGAAACAAATATTAACTTAAATAAACAAATAAAAAGTGATGTTCAACCACTTCATTATTTTACATCCGTTTAATCTAAATGCTGATTAGAGTGTTTTTAATAAACTTTATTACATGACAACTAAAATATACAGTTACTAATGAGACGACTCTGACTGGATGTCCAAAGATCTCCTTACTCAGTTGTATTCAACCTACGAGTGAAATAAACACACGTTAAGTAATTACATAGTGAGACCTAATATTATAACGTCACCATTGAATATAGATAAATATGTAACCTTTATTTATTTCATACTAAAGCGTTTATTCTTTTATTATCCTATACTACTCCTTATTTAAATCATATTCCATTCACATTCTTCTTAATTCTTTTCGTATGCCAGCATACATATCTACCTTTACATTTTTCCTTTCAATTTATCTCTTTAGTAATTATTCTTTATTTTCATTGATAGTCCCCATTCATCGTTACAATGCACCTTTAAGCATTTCAATTTGGTAATCCTTACATGCCTTTTTATACATTATTATACTTTCATTTATGCCATCCTTTCATTGTTGTATCATATATATATATATATATATATATGTATATATAGCATCCCTTCATATCACAATACACTAATATTTCTTTATTCTATAATTCAACATTGTTTAATGTTCGTCTAACTAGCATAATTGACACCTTTCTGCCAATGTACAGTTAGTCCATTTTTCTCTTCCTCAACGGTACTTAATCATTCATTTAACTGGAATGATTTACACATTTCTGTCAATTACACAACTAGGCCATTTTTCTTTTACTCAACGGTACTTAACAGTTCATGTAACTGGCATGATTGACAGCTTTCTGTCAATTGCACAGCTAGGCCATTTTCCTTTTACTCAACGGTACTTATCCGTTCATCTAACTAACATGATTGAAACCTTTCTGTCAATTACACAACTAGGCCATTTTTCTTTTACTCAACGGTACTTAACCATTCATCTAACTGGCGTGATTGAAACCTTTCTGTCAATTGCACAACTAGGCCATTTTTCTTTTACTCAACGGTACTTAACCGTTCATCTAAATGACATGATTGACACCTTTCTGTCTTATGCACAGTTAGGCATCAAAGACACTTAGCCTTTCATCTAACTGGCATAAATGACACCTTTCTGTCATATGCACAGTTAGGCCTCAAAGACACTTAGTCTTTCATCTAACTGGCATTAATGACACATTTCTATCATATGTATAGTTAGGCCTCAAAGACACTTAGTCTTTCATCTAACTGTCATAAATGACACATTTCTGTCATATGCATAATTAGGTCTCAAAGACACTTAGTCTTTCATCTAACTAACATAAATGACACATTTCTGTCATATACACATTTAGGCCTCAAAGACACTTAGTCTTTCATCTAACTAGCATAAATGACACCTTTATGTCATATGCATAATTAGGCCTCAAAGACAC